AACACATTAACACTGATATTTTTTTTTTTTACTTGGGGAGATGAGAAGGTCCAAAGTTTCCCTGCCAGGCCCAGGTACCAAAGCCTTATGATGTGGTGTCCAGAATGAAGTGCTCCAATCTCATTTTCTTCTCCTTCATTTGAGACAGTCTTCTTTTTCTTCTGAGGCTCCTTCTGCACTGGCGGCTCTAGACTTTATGAGGCCTTAGGTGAAACTCAAACATGTGGCCACACTAACAAAAAAGTGAAAAAAATAGAGTTGCAATACATGCACACTGTCACATATACACATTGATGCACAGTTTACCTGTGTATGTGCCTGAGAGTGTTTCTGACAGTGTGTGTGTGTGTGTCTCTGTTAGCATGTTTGCATTTTTGTCTGGTACCCTATGTGTATGGGGTAGCTGCTTGAAGAGGGGGGTGATGGTGAGTGGGAGAGGCGGGTGATGGTGAGAGGGGGTGATGGTGGGGGGGAGTGATGGTGAAGGGGCGTAATGCTGAGGTAGAGGGTGATGGTGACGGAGGGGGCAATGCTGCTGAGGGAGGAGGTGATGGGGGTAATGCTGTGGGTGGTGAGGGGTGTGATGCTGAGGGAGGGAGTGATGGTGAAGGGGGGTTATGCTGAGGGAGGGAGTGATGTTGAGGGGGTAATTGTGACAGAACCATCTGTCTGCTTGTATTTTAGTTGCATTCGTCTGTTTGTCTCCCGTTCGTATGAATGGCTGGCTTCTATAGCCCAGCCATTCGAATGACTCTTTTTCCCGAACAAACCTGCCGAACGGACAGCCACCCAGGAGAGAAGTGTGCTGCTGGTTAACCTATTGATCCCAATTAGAACGTTGTGGTTAACCGCAGACACCTCTCAATGAAACCGAATTCAGGGTGGTCGTCGTTCGTATGTCGTCCACGAGGCAGCGGCCATTTTAAACCAAGCGAAAGCCCAGCGGTGTTTGGCTCTATTTCTATGGAACTAAAAACTGACACTTTTTCTGACGAACACCGCTGAAACAACGGAACGCCTGGCTGCCTCCACGAAAGCATACGAACAGCGGCCGTTCAGGAGATTTGGAGCATACGAAAAGACTTAACCCAGATGATAGCCTTCCCATGGAGTCATTCGTATACCGAAAGACTGTAAGAACTTTGACTCCATGGCGATTGAACTATGTGTTTGGGATCTGAGCGCTATTCGCTAATAATATGCACTCAGATCCAGGCTATCTGGGGATATGTGATACGAATGGGAAATGTTCGGTTTTTGTGAAGTTATATATTTTTATGTCTTTTATGATTTTATATTTAAGATGGTGACTGGCTTTGTCCTGGAGTTAATTGAGTTACTTGGTAATTAACTCCAGGGCAGAGGGGAGGGAATCATAATGCACTGTGGGTAAAAACTGTGACTGTGTGTCTGGAATGTCCCCATATCTGTCTGTCATTTAAGTCTCCCATTTGGTCCCCTAGGGGAGTGTCCACCAAGTGGGAGACCTGCATAAATACGGGCAGGTAGCCCACAGTAAAGCCAGATCCTGTTTGACCCTCAATGCGGAGCTTCTGTCTCGTTATTGGGGGGATTTCTTCTTCCCGTTTAGAGAATGCTGGATGGAACGGAAGCCGCTTGGTGAATATTGTTGTTCGGCGGCTAGCAGCAGTTCGTGTATTGCCGTTCGGGAGGTTGGAGCCGTTCACGGATCTCGGTCGGGAGATTGCCGCTTCCCCTGCATTTGGTTCGTATACTACAGATTAAGCGAACGGAGTTACTGTTACTGCAGACGGGGAAGGTCTACTAAACAGCGGTTTTGCCTAAAGACACTAGAGGTGTCTTAACAGTAATGTTGAGGGTGGTGATGCTGAGGGAGGGGGATAATGCGGAGGAAAGGGGGTGCTGGTGAGGGGGGTGAAGCTGAGGGTGGTGAGGGGGGTGATGCTGAGGAAGGGTAATGCTGAGGGTGGGAGTGATGGTGAAGGGGTATGTTGAGGGTGGTGATGCTTGGGATAATGCTGAGGAAGGGGTGATGGGTGAAGGGTGATGCTGAGGGGTGGTGAGGGTGATGGTGGGGGATGCTGAGGGTGATGGGGGGGTGATAGTGAGGGGGTAATGTTGAGGAAGGGAGTGATGGTGAAGGGGGGTAATGCTGAGGGAGGAAGTGATGGTGAGGGGGGGTAATGCTGAGGGTGGTGATGCTGAGGGAGTGGGGTAATGCTGAGGAAAGGGGGTAATGCTGAGTGTGGTGGGGGGGTGATGCTGAGGGTGATGAGGGGGTGATAGTGAGGGGGGTGATGCTGAGGGAAGGGGTAATGCTGAGGGTGTGAGAGGGGGTGATAGTGGGGGGGATGCCGAGGGTGATGAGGGGGGAGGGGGGGTGATAGTGAGGCAATATGTAAGGCTATGTCTTGATATGTAATATGTAAGGCTATGTCTTGCCACCCCAGATGATTGAGTAATATATATATATATTACTTTTTCTAATATAAAATATTGGTCCTTTCATAGTAAAACGTTTAATTATACAGTAAGCATACTCACATGCAAACACAGACAACCTCACTGACATACACAAGTTCGTTGATACACAACCTCATAGACAAACAATCTCACTCATATACATCAGCTCATTGACATAAAAACACAAGCTCACTCACTAGCAGACACACACATACATGCAAGCAAGCAAGCTCACTAGCATGCGCGCACACACACACACACACAGCTTAATGTAGTGGTTCTGGTGTCTATAGCCTGTCCCTGCAGGCTTTTCAATGTAAACACTGACTTTTCAGAGAAAAGGCAGTGTTTACATTGCTTCAGAGTGACACCTCTAGTGACAGTCACTCAGAAGGTCACTAGAGGTGCTTCCTGTGTCAGTGCTGCACAGTGTACAGCACCTACATTCAGGGCCTCCACGCTCTGGAGACACTGAAGGTTCCCCATAGAGATACATTGATTCAATGCATCTCTATGAGGAGATGCTGATTGGTGTAGTGTTTTGCAGCCAATCCTATGGCAAGCTTGAGGATCTCAGCCATAGAGGCAGGGCCAGTCGAGGGGAGACCAGCATGGCGTGGGGAAAAAAAAGTGAGTAAAAACACACACCATGACAGACACACACACACACCATGACAGACACACACACACACCATGACAGACACACACACACACCATGACAGACACACGCACACCATGACAGACACACGCACACCATGACAGACACACCCACACCACGACAAACTCACACATACCACGACAGACACACGCATACCATGACAGACAGTCCATGACTAAGACAGACACACACACACACCATGACACAGACAGACCATGCCAAACACACACACCATGACACACCGACACACACACACCCACCATGACACACGACACACCATGACACAGACACACATATCATGACGCAGACACACATATCATGACACACACACACCATGACAGAGACAGACACATACCATGACACACACACACCATGACACACATACCATGACACACACACCATGACAGACACACATACCATGACACACGCACACCATGACAGAGACAGACACATACCATGACACACACACACCATGACACACCGACACACACACACCCACGATGACACACTGACACACCATGACACAGACACACATATCATGATGCAGACACACATATCATGACGCACACACACCATGACAGAGACAGACACATACCATGACACACACACACCATGACAGAGACACACATACCATGACACACACACACACCATGACAGAGACACACATACCATGACACACACACACCATGACAGAGACAGACACAGACCATGGCACACACACACATACCATGACACACACACCATGACAGACACACATATCATGACACACACACACCATGACAGAGACAGACACATACCATGACACACACACACACACACACACACATACCATGACACACACACCATGACAGACACACATACTATGACACACACACATACCATGACACACACACCATGACAGACACACATATCATGACACACACACACCATGACAGACAGACAGACAGACACACAGACACACACACACTGACAGCATAACACATATTGCCTGTGGGCCAGGGGGGTCATGCAGGGCAGAGAGCAGGGACGGCGGCCGCTGGAGGAGCTGTTCTGGCGGCCGCTGGAGGAGCAGGGATGGCGGCCACTGAAGGAGGTGTCCTGGCGGCCGCTGGAAGCTGTGCTGTCTCTGCTCCCCCGCCCTCGCGCGCTACTGAATGAGACCGGGGCTGGAATATGACGTAATTTTCCGGCCCCGGTCTCATTCAGTAGCGCGCGAGGGCGGGGGAGCAGAGACAGCACAGCTTCCAGCGGCCGCCAGAACACCTCCTTCAGCGGCCGCCAGAACAGCTCCTCCAGCAGACCCAGGTGTCAGCCCGGCCCCAGGTGCCGACGACCCACCGTGAAATTTCTCGGTATCCTGGTGGGCCAGTCCGGCCCTGTAGTGAGGGGGGGATGCTGAGGGTGATGAGGGGGGGTGATGCTGAGGGTTGTGATAGTGAGGGGGGGGTGATGCTCAGTACATTGATGACAGTATCTTAGCTACATGTAACTAACTAACTGATACAACAAACACCTGTACTTGGATATGCCACATGGAGATTTCAGGCCTACTAAATTTTGAACCATGTTGAAATCCCATCACAATATTTTTCTGTTTTTTGCTTAGATGTTGCACTGAGGAGAGGCCCTAATAGAACTTAAATGTTTATCTGATCTGTATTTGTACGTCTTGAAATGCGTATATTTAAAGTGATCTGACCCATATTCATGTGTTATCCCATGGAATGAATGCGTGTACTTTCTTTGTATGTTCATCATTTATAGCGTACTCGAGCTCTGTGTCGGCTCCTCCATAGTTTACAATTTAATACTTTGCAGCCGGTATATAATTTGTTTCCATTTAGTTCACGGCACCCCATCATAACACACATTGTACACAATATCACTGTTTCTGAGCGTCTAACGATTTATTTAATTTTAGATTCATGCCGATTCCTTAGATACCATGTTTTTGCATGTTTTAAGTAAGTTTTCACATTTGAATTGCCGACATTTAGGTGATCAGCCCCTACACAGGCGCTAATTGAATTAACAGCTTTTTTCACACAATTCTTTATGTAACTTTATTGAACTTGCATTTGTATCACTTCCTTTTGTACCCTTTATAACATGTTTGACAACTCCAATTATATTCTTATATCATGATTTATAGTAATGCTCAGTGATCCTTCACCTGTTATGATCTCCCGTTCCACTTCCAGTCTTCTAAGCTCAGGGTATAAAATAAGGAATACAAACACCACCCACTGCCCCCATGGCTTCCACCACTTACCTCACCACAGTCGACTTACTGTGATTTTACCTCATAAGACAATCGCACTCTCACCTTTTAATACTCTGTTTTAATTGTATACTCTTGGGACCAGTGCCCTCACAAATGTTTATCTAAGTGTGTCATATTTACATATTTATGTAGGTTACAACTACATGTTTGTTCGTCCACTCACTGTAAAGCACTGCGGAATTTGTTAGCGCTATATAAATAATAACATAATAATATTATTAGTTATCTGCATGCTTTGTGTTCTCATTGTACAGCGCTGGGGAATAGGTTGGTGCCGCAGCGTGCGTGACTAACGTGAGCATTCAAAGTGAATTGAATATCATATTTCAAGCCAAAGTAACCAAATTTTTCCACTTTCACAATTTTAGCCTTACTTTTGAAATTCCCGTTTGAATTCTAAGCTTAGTGAATAACCTACACTATTCAAGCTCATTGAGCTGGGCCCTAAATCCCTCTGTTACTGTGTCACTATACCCCACTCCCTCTAACATGTAACCTCACTGAGCGGGACCTCAATCCCTCTGTTACTGTCACTATACCCCACTCCTTCTAACATGTAAACTCACTGAGCAGGGCCCTCAATCCCTCTGTTACTGTCACTATACCCCACTCCCTCTAACATGTAAACTCACTGAGCAGGCCCTCAATCCCTCTGTTACTGCGTCACTATACCCCACTCCCTCTAACATGTAAACTCACTGAGCAGGGCCCTCAATCCCTCTGTTACTGTCACTATACCCCACTCCCTCTAACATGTAAACTCACTGAGCAGGGCCCCCAAACCC